TATTCCCACGGTATTTCCCTTCTACACCTTCCCACCATGTAGAAGCCATCCCCTCAAGCAACCGTGAAGCAACGGTTAGCTTCACGTCCGGAGTAATTTGCATGTCCCTTGATGCATCCTTCACTTTCTTGATCCAATCGGCGGCAACGGTAATGTCACCGGTGCCATCGAAGGACCTACACCCCAAGGCCCTAGCCTCCTTGAGGTACTTGGAGATTCTCACTATGAAACCTCCCTCGAGCCCACCTTGTGGAGCCCCGGGTGTGGCCCTTGGAGCTCCCCGGCTTCCTTGAGCCGACACACCTGGAGAACCACGCCTTGCTTGGCGCCTAAGGTCTCTCCTCAACTTCTCCTTTTGATACCACTCAAGTAATTCACCCATTTGAGCGAATCGGGCATCACTCTCATCATCATTCTCATCATCAGTGTGGAAATCACCCCCATCGTATGGGGTCTCTTCATGCTCCGTTTCAGGAACATAGGTAGAGTCGTGGTTCTCGGTGCTAGTCTCGTACACCGAACTCATGTGGCCATCACTCACTGTTTGGGCTCGGTGGCCCCCACGACTTCCACGGCCTCCCCGGCCTCCTCTTCCACCTCTAGAGCTTCGAGATGGGGCCCGACTAGCTCCAACAGAAGCTATCGGTGCTTGCCCTCTCGGATTGTTCTTGGTCCGCATGCGTCTACCCTCCATTTCTGAAAAGGAATTTGGACGAGTCGTTAGACTCCAATCAATGTCAATTGACGGGAAACGTTATAGACACGTATTGGCCCAAGTCGCCGCCATACCAATTGTTAAGGGTACCATCTTAACAACTAGAGACCTTGCAACCTTGGTGACAATAGTTCTATAAGCGTCAAAATACAATGCTCATGGTTTTCGATAAAACTCTTTTGTAAAGTCTCATGTGAGAGGTTGATTATATAGTTTAGAAACTGAGATGGCTCTGATACCACTTAATTGTCACGCCCCGGACCGCATCCGAGCGCGTGTACAACCGCCGTATGACTAAATGACGTCACTCGCAAGTCAACGTAACTTAATCATACAAGGCGTCCATGAACGTTGTTCATACCATACTCAGTAAGTAAACATACATAACAACATCACATATTTGGATTGAACGAATCGCGGAAATATTCGATATTCAATCATGGACCACATATGGCCAAAACGTGGACTCGCAGGCCCAAAACAAATGTACTTATTACAAAATATCCATGAGCATAGTTTATAGTTTAAAATAGTAAAGGAAGCACGAACCACGTCTCCCTTTAGATTACTTCACCGAGCAAGGTGAGAATGCAAGCTTGAGCTTCAACCTGAAATGGTGGGGCCCCCCGAAGGGGTCAGTACAAGTACCGAGCGAGTAGCAGGCTAAATGTAGAATAACTAACGTTTCAAGTATAAGACCCAAACATAGGGTGATTCATATACATATAGTTCTTTCCCCCAAGTTATGAAATATATATATCATTATATATACACTTGGAAATACCCGACCCTTAGGTCATTGTTTATTTGGGAAATAATATAGCCGTTAACCTTGGCTTAAACCCCAACCCACCCATATACCTATGAGTGTATAGAACTCCTCCTGGTTCAAATTATCTTAACTTGAGGACACCGCCCGGTCCTAAATTACAAATAGTAATCTATGAGTTTTGAGGATACACGCCCGATCCTTGGGTACTCCACCCTATATAACCGAGTTTTGAGGATAACCGCCCGATCCTTGGGTACTCCACCCTATAACCGAGTTTTGAGGATACACGCCCGATCCTTGGGTACTCCACCCTATAACCGAGTTTTGAGGATACCGCCCGATCCTTGGGTACTCCACCCGACTTATGATCTACCACATATCATCCTAGATAAGGTCTATATCATAATCAATAATCAAGACTAAACCAAGTCTTAAGGCCTAAGCATAATCATCCATGCAATTCATGCATTAAAATCAACATATAGGCAAAACAGTGCCAAACCGGCGCCGGTTTTGACATAACCGGCGCCGGTTATTATTTAATTCAATAAAACCGGCCATGCCGATCCATAACCGGCGCCGGTTTTGCCTATAACCGGCGCCGGTTGCCCCCTGGGCAACCAAGTCAACATTTTCGTTGACTCGCTATTTCAAACCCGATTTGCGTCAAACTTAATCCCAACATGTATTAAGTTATAACCAAGCATTTTATGCCCCTTTTATCCCTTAAAACATCATATATGTTTTTATAAACATTTTCATATCATACTTCATTTATGATAGATATCAATGGGTCATACATATAAGTCTAATCACTTTGGATAATCACATGTTTAAGCATCTTTTAAACATTATTATGAACACATATAACATTTACTTAGGTAATCTCATAATTAACCCAAGAGTTATAAGACATTAAGCCGTCCACTCACCTCAAATGAGCGTGATGAAGTTCTACCCCTCTCGGTTGAACTCCGGCCAAACTCCGGTGAACTTTGACGAACTCCGGCGATAACTCCGGCGACCCTTTAAACTTCGTGAAAGCTTTTAAGTCACCTTTGACAAGTTCCTTTATTCTCAAGGTCTTTCTCTACTTTTGCAACCTTTTTCTTCTTCCTTGAGCTCTTTGCTTGTTTGAGCTTTCTTGGCTATGGAGATGGAGGGTTTTCAGAGCTATTTCTCTCTCTCTTTGGGGGCTGGGTCGAGCTAAGTGATTGGGGGGGAGGTGATGTGTTTCCTTTTGTCTCAAATGTGAGATAATTGGGAGGGGAGGTCTACCTAGGGTCATTCCTACACCAACCAATCACTCTCACTCAATATACACCACTCCCCCATGCTATGCAGCTCCCCAAGTCAACCATCTAGCACACAAAAACGTGGGGTGGCCCCCACTCATGTGGGAGGTCATCCCAACTTGTCCTGATGTGTACAATCGGCCCCGAAAGTTGTATTTCTCGGACTGTTTTAGTTATATTTTATTTTATCGGGTCAAATAAAATATATTACATGTTCACACTCATTATGGATCTTAAGAATGAATATACATTCCCCAACTTTAATTTAAGTCTCCGAAATTCATTTCGGACTGTTATCCGATAATTATCCAAAACCGGTAATTGGGCCTCGTTTGACCAATCGGTCAACCCAATGCCTTTCTTATGGTCCAAAGTGAATGTCCACTACCATATAACTATTATCTATACCAAGATGAATAAAATAGGCGATCTCGGGAATATCGGGTGGTCCCCGCTCCCGGTGTGGGCCCCACGTGCAATTTACTATTCACGCAAAAGAATTAAAGGAAATTTACAACCTTGTAAATTCATTAACCATTTCATAAGATTCTACACACAATTTACTTAAAAGTAAATACACTTGGGGACGGTGTTACACCTTTGCTTCGGGGGGGAGGCACGCCCTCGGCACCCGAAGCGGAGGCACCACTCTCCTGGGGCCTGCTAAATTCTTGCTTGCCGAGGCGGTCTTGGACCCCTCGGCGTCCGGGAGCTCCCCCAAGCCTCTCAAGTGCAGAGGTCCGGGGTTTCTCATTCATCATGGGGCGCTTGTCCCTGGATTGAGCCTCCTGGGAGGCGGTATCCTGCACTATGACCCCCTCGCGGTTGCCAACCCCCGGGGGAGGGTTGTTGAACAGAGGAGGGAGTGGTGGTAGGTTGATAACATTCCCTCCAGCATAGGGCTGAAGGGGTGCCTGAGAGGCGAGGGTTCCGGAATTGAGAGCCATGTTTTGAACAAAGGCCGCAAAGGCAGCCTGAAGATCGATGGCCGAGGCCGGAGGGGGAACTTGGTTCTCACTCCGATCCCTCCTTCGATTATCAAGGCCAATGCGGGCATCAGGGGTGTTCTTCTGCAGCTGCTGACGTAGGTCAGCGGTGGCTTGCTCCAATTCCAGGATGATACCACCCTCGGGTACCAAGAGCCTGTTGGAGGCCTCAGCCCCGTTGGTTTCGCCGGGGGCTACGTGGTTCTCCTCGAGGGTTTTGGACTGGGCACGGGTGGTTCTTCCCATTTTTGGTAAGTGTTTTGTATTTGGTAGAGGGGGAGGGTTTCTTACTTGATAGTTCAGACCTCTCAACGAGAGCACCAAATGATGGACAATCTACCCGGGGGGTATCTTATCCGAGGGGTTATTGCGGGAATAACTAGAGAGAAGTCAGAGTAAATAGGAGGAGAGAGAGTCGATTTTATTAAATGAACTCAGCGTGTGGAGTTGAGGTGTAGATGATGTCGATTACAAGGAGAAATGGGCTGCTATTTATAGCAGCAATAAATGCGATGAGAGTACACGTGTCAGCAATCCAACGGCCGAAGGGTCACATCAGCCGGTTGGCACCGGCAGTGGTACGTTTACCGCATTGAATGCGGCTGGCGGATGTGACGTGACATTAAATGCGGTGGTTGGCTGTCTCCAAAAGGAATCTTCGATGATTGAGCGTGTCTGGCCGGAGGCTCCTGGTGTAGCCGAGGGCTCCATGTGACCAGGACCCCTGTGTAGCCGAAGGCCTTATGTGACCGAAGGCTATGATGCCGAGGGCATCATAATGCCGAAGGCTCATGTTTTTGCCGTTTTCTCCCAGTAGCTTTTTGTGCCAGAGAAGGCTATTCTGTGAGTTTTGGAGCCTTCGGCCAAGGAGGCCGAAGGCACCCCAGCGTGTATTCTGGGCTGCTTTGAGGCTTGGGCCGTTGTATTTGGGCCTGAGTTGTTCCCTGAGCCCAACGGACTTGTGTAGGAGAAGTAGGAGTCTATGGGCCGGGGGTTCCTGGGCCATATACTCCATCAATGTCAATATAAGGGAGTGTTTGTAAAAGCTTGTGCTTATCAAAAGTGACTTATTTAAGATATTATTGGAAAAGTTATTATAGTAAAAGTAGTTCATGTTTAGTGATTTTCATTAAGATGTAACAGTTGAAGTGTTTTATGAAAAATGATTGTGATGTAATATTTTTTGAAAGTACAAAAATATCGAACATAAATCATACATACGGACATACGGTGCATATACGATAGTATACCGATAAAATAACTTAGGCCTAAGAAAATCATACATATGATTTTCATTTCGCTTGTCCAGATTTTGGAACTTCCAACGTCAGTCAAGGGTTTCCATTTCGTTGTCCTCGAATCAGGTAAGAATCTATTCCTCTAGAGGTCTGGTTTCGTTTGTATATGTATTTCAACAACAGAAATGAAACACTCTCTCTGCGATTGCGTTTGTATACGCTGGTTATCTCGTCTTTCTTCTCTGTGCTTAGTTATAAGGCGACTTGATTTGTAAGAAGGCAAAGACAGGTTTTGGACAATTACGTTCTTCAATTTCTGTCTTCCTCTCTCAAATTTGTTTTTCATTTTTGTGCAAGTAAGACCTGGGATTTACCATACTTCCTAAAATGCTATGATTGCGAATTTTAATAATTGCTGGGATGATTTCCCTGTTTTTCATATCCGGTCAAAAGCCATAGATACGCACTTATAGACATATCTATCACGCAAATTATACCGTGCAACCGGCATACCTTGGACATGGTATGCCGGGTCCGATACGGCACCGTTTTACGCTAAAAAAAATAAGCCTGATGCTCTGTATTTTTCTCCGCAAGGCGCAAGGCGCAAGTCTGCCATCATCGTTCGATGTATACGAAGATGGGAAAGCCTCACACAGAGCAATTCATTCTTTGTTCGATGTATACGAAGATGGGAAGGCAAACCAATTACACCACTTCAATCACAATTTTAGCCTATACTCCGTATTTTCTATTTATCTTCTTCCCTTTGGATTTCGTATTTTGCTATCTGATGGTTCTATTTTGATGCTTTGGTATAGCATTTACAGAGTAAACAAATATGGAGCAAATCAATCCAATTGATAGGCTTTGGGTATTCATATTAGAGCAAATTAACCCACAGAAAGCAAACATTTATTTATTAATTAGTCTGCTATTTGTTTGCTTTGTTGATACTATGGAGTTACATTTCATATACACTGGAATTACATTTCTTTTTGGCTAAAGTTACATTTTGTAACACACGCTTTACATTTCAATTTTTTTTAATAAGTTACATCTTGACTACACTTGATTTACGATTGACATTATGCGAGTTACATCTCAAAACTATGCAAGTTACACAACAAAATAAACCTCTGTTTTTCAATCAAAACATAGGTTGAAAACATAATAAACCAACAAAATAAACCTCTGTTTAATGGACCTAATATTAAAAACAAAACATATCCACTATTTATGTAAAATAATTGGACAATTAAACTCCTTTTTTCCCATTAAACATGAATTACATTTCAGGGCACAAGTTACATATGTTGTTAACTGAAGTTACATTTGTAGCAACACGAGTTACATCTAATTACGCACATGTTACATCATTCATGCTACTGGGATGAAAAAAATACTATACACGCGTGTACTGTTCACGCGTTTTTTTAAATTGATCAAAACTATGTCGTTTTGGGGTGTGGAGCATGATGCTCACCATGCTCCGGTTGATAAATCTTCATTGATAAATTTATGTGTTTGTTCAGCTTTTCATTTACACAAAGAATTACATTCGGTGTAAATTTTAACATGTGTTGGGATTGTAAATTAAAAGTACTTTAATAAGTTTTCCATCCTAAAATTATGTGTAAATTAAAATGCTATGATTGCAAATTGTAATATGTGCTGGGATGATTTCCCTGTTTCGTAAAAATGAACTGGGCTTTGATTATAATACTAAGGAAAAATTCACATAAATAATCCCAACTATTAGCGATCTTCCAATATTAATCCCATATTTCAGTAATTCGAATATAATCTGAACTATTAGGGTTGTCTTCCCAAAACAAACCGGTGACCTGCATAAACCAATTCAACAGGTCACCTGCACATGTGGCATTCTTTTATTGGCTTTTAGCTTTTTTGTTTTCTTTTTCTTTTCTTTCTTTTTTTTTTTCTTCTTCCTTACCTTTTCCTTCTACGTCTCTTTCTCTGTGTCTGCTTTTTATTCTGTATCCGAAGATTTCAGATGGAACACAATGAATTCCTGATGGGAATCAAGAGTCTCAAACTAGGGAAAATAGATATGGCCGGAATGGGAATTTTGACTAAGTTTTTTACTTCCCTCTTTGTCTTCTTCTTCCTTGGGCATCCAAAGGTAATTCTTTCCAGCGAGAAAATGAAGAAGACGGTCATCCCCATCTGAACCGATTTCAGTAGTCGCCCATCCCTTTTGTTGGTATTTGGCGTCACTCCAAGCAAGAAGAGAGATTGGAGGAAAAGGGGCGTTGTTGACACCGTAGAACACCAATACAGCCACCGATCACAGATGATGAACAGTCCCGATCCTAAACTCCAGAGCACTCATCTGGCGGAAACGGAAGCATAAGATAAGAAGAAGACTGGGATCGTGGGTAGAGGAAGGTACCATCAAAATTGGCCCTAGAAGCACTCCGGTTACCATCCTTGAAGTTCCGCAGGATTCATCGGCCGCCGGCTAGAAAGGAGGCTTTTAACCTTTTTTTTTATTTCTTTTCTATGTTCCTTTTTACGGGTTCACTAAGTTACCGGTCACCCGAGATCAATTTGAGAAAAAGGCATATAAATTTCGGATTATTCTAGAATTATTGATATTTGGGATTATTATTGGAAGAACGGTGATAGTTGGGATTATTCATGTGAATTTTTCCTAATACTAATAGTAACAATTTTAGTATCAATTTTAAGGGGTTAATTAATGGCTAATTGATTAGCAATATGTTTTTATTTGTAAACCGGTATTTCTGAAAAATGTTAGGAAGATTATCTTTATATGATTTATAACATTTATTTAAGATAGAGAGAGGATAGCTCTCGCTTCTCTCTAAAACCTAGCGGCCTTCTCCCCTATGTTGAGATTTTCCATCGTCTGGGATTGGAGCGGCAGATTATTCTGATATTAAGTGTTCTGATGCTTGGGATTACAACTATGTCGGAGGAGATAACACTGGTGGATGAACGGATTGCAGATGAGATTTTGTATTGGTGTTGGGTCATGAAGTCTTGGTCGGCCGTTTCGACGGTGGTTGAGTTTGTATTCATACATATTACAAGAGATCGTCCTTCTCCAGAACCACCTCCATACCAGGAAGAGTGTTGCGGAAAGAATTTATTGCAATATTATTTTCTCTTTAGTAGTGTTAGTTTTAGTTTTAGTCAGAGTGGATTTGGTTTAAATGTTTGGATTTTTGGAGTTATTTTGATACACAGGGTTTCCGATCTGTTCATTTTAGACTTAAATTTGTCCGTTTCAGGTTTAGCGAGTCAGGTTGCTTTGTATGAGGTGACTGATTCTATGTCTACTCCTAGGGTTCACGATTGAATCTGTAAAATCTGTCTGAAGATTGTCTTGTATGCATTCTTGATTTTAATATAAAGTCGGATATAAAAAAACATTTATTTAAGAATTTGTGCTATTTTGTTAAATAAGTAGCACATAAATCGGGCTGCGTTATTTTGTGCTTATTTTTCAGTGCTATTTTGTACTTATTTTTTAGTAGGTACAATTCGGGGGAAGAATACCCATCTTAAAGTGGATAATAAGTTTGAAATGCTTTGCTGGATGTCAACGAAAGAAAAGTTTCTTGTTGACAGGCTAATTGAGTTTTAGAGTACTAACATGCTGTTTGCTGGTAGTGCTTTCAAAAGTGATGTTGTGAACGACATCGCTTCAAGCCTCGTGACAAAATTTGGAAAATCATTTTGGTAAGAGAAGGTACTTAAGAAGTGCAAATCTCTAAAAAGAAGGTCTGATTTGTGGGACACGGTATGACGTTCTTCTGGTGTAAAACTCAATTACCGTACAAATGAGCTTGAAGTTGATCTTGGTATATGGGAAGTTATTGTAAGGGTATGTTAACCACCTATTAATAAACTAAATATAAACTTAAATTAATTTTAAAGACAATTAGTTAAGACCAATGTTCTAAATGTTGCTAGCCGCTACTCGGGCGCTAGCTCAGCGCCTAGGCAGTTAGGCGGAAGCGTAGTCAGGGACTAATCGGAGACATAGAAATTATATTTTTATCTATATTTTTACATAAAATTTAGGTATATATACAAACATATATAGTCTTAATCTTAAATTACAACTTCATTTGTTTATATCTAGGGCTAAAGTTAAAGGACTTATATCACTTAGAAAATTGAAAATTAAATTATAAGTAATTTTCGACGAATCTAGACAACCTAGGTGGCCGATTAGGCGCTTTGGGCGGACAACCAGGCGCCATAAGCGGCCGACTAATTCACCTAGATGACAAAGAAATTAGTCGGAGCGCCTAGGCGAAAATCAGGGCGTCCGACCACCGCCTAGCGCCTAGGCGGGGACTAGTCGGACGCCTAGAACGATTTTTAGAACAGAGGTTAAGACCTATATAATAGTGAATTGTAACTATAGTTAATTTTAATCGAAATCAAACTGAAATTAATTAGTTAACACCTATAGAAACTCAAATTAATTTCAACTTTTTGTGATTCAAATCACATAAATATATAATAGTATATTGAAATTAATTAAAGTAAATATAAACTATAACAAGTAAACCATATAAATCGATTTTTATAATAAGGGGGTTTGCATTTATATCACAACATTAGCATTCAAAAAGGGGTTAAAACGATACAAGGACCACAAGCAACAGTCAGCCCTCGAACTAGACTTAGAGTCAATCACTTTTAGATAAGCAATATAACTCGCCGATTCTATAATGAGCTTACATGAGCCAAAGACGATTAAAGCATACCTCATATCACCCAATTTTAATGCAAAAATCCTACAATACTAAAAATAATCAACAGAAAAATAAATAGTCTGATCTTGAAAATCAATCGCAAACAAACAGTAAACTAAAAAGATGCTTCCAAATCCTAGACTCTCCAGCATTCCATGGCGGCGGTTCAGGAGGGGGACAATCCAACATTACTGTAGCTTCTTCCTCACCTTGCCTCTTATTCATCACGTTCTCTACCAAGCCGCCTCTATCGCCACCTAACACAGATGACCTCGAATCCAAATTTGTTCCAGCCTTTGGCCCTACGCTTCGTTCATGACCTTTTGCTGCCGAAGACCAAACATCCATCTTCCATCCCTGCAAAACCTTTGGCTGCCAGAGACTAAGCATCACCTTCCCTCCACTTAATCTCACCAAGCAAAAGAAGGAAAAAACCGCACAATTGATGGCGGAAGAAGAAACCCTTTAAGAAGGAAAAAACCGCACAATTGATGGCGGAAGAAGAAACCCTTTACGCCTAAGCCCGCCTGCGGCGCCTGCTCCTCGTTACAAACGATAGCGGATGAAAACCCCTAACGATGGAAACCCACCCTAGAGAGAGAAAGAACCAAGAGTCGATATTGGCGGATACTCCGTAAATCGAAATTTATTTTAAACTCAATGAGTTAACACTAGTATGCATTTAAACTAAAAACAATTTTAAACTCAATAATTTAGCACTGTATGTGATTCAAAGCACCTATATTTTTATTTTATTTTTTATTGTAGGAGCACCCATATGCGAAAAGGTCGATGAGTGCACCTCAAGTGATTTGCATTGATGACGAGGAAGATTATGTAAAAGATGAACAATCTTGTGTTGCAAATACCAAGTACCTATTGCCACTATACAATCATTCTATTTATGCTGGGAAGAGCTTTATCGGGACATCGGGGGCACATTTTGATGATGATCTCGACAGTCAAGCTTCACAAATTTCCTCTGTTGCTTCATCCTATCTGTGTGGCCTTGAATAGAGGAAATTTGTGAAGCTTGACTGTCAAGATCCATGGGTTTGTCCATAGTACCCACTATTGTCGAGGGCATAATCTTCGCCTCTTCCAAATCTCCTTCAGACAAATGGCGATTCACTGAAAATCGATGAGAAGTGAGAGTTCGGCCATCAAAAGATTGCATCTGGACTTCAAACTTCAAATGGCGTCGACTCACACTTTGGGAGATGGGGAGGACGAAAGGAGTAAAGGACGAATGTCTAGCAATACGAGGCGGACATATGGAATGTAATTATTTCAGGGTATTTTGGGATTTAGATGGATTTTACTACCGTTATAACTATTCAAAAAGTTTGAGTTATTTACAAGAATACATAGAAACACTTTAAAGCTGATATATCTCAACTTATACCTTTTAACTTAAAAGTACTTTTTTTTAGTTAAAAAATGGTTACTATCAAACTCTTTTTTTAAAACTTTTTTTAAACTAAAAATTGAAAAGTGCTTAGAATAAGTGTAAAAGTCCATTCCTTTCAAAAAATTGATAAATGGAATGGAGTAATGCTAACGAGTGGAGGTAAAAGTCAATTAGTCCCTCCCTCCTAAATCCTGAGCCAAACAAGCTTTAAGACACTGTTCATACTCGATATCCATGACTCTTGAAAGCCATTTTTTGCTGCTAAATACGAAAGCTTACAGACTAACAATAAAACCCAGAACCCCGCGAACCACAGCTGCAACCTCTTGTCTGCTTTTAAACCCTAAAAATCTCAATTCGAAATTCTTAAACAACAATGGCAGCAACCGCCCGATGCAAGCTCCGATCCGTTATATTCAATCATCCTCTTCATATCCGCCATTTCGCAACCTCGATCTTAAACCCTGATTCCAAAACCGCGCTCTCCAGCAAAGAGAAATCTCGTACCGCCCTCTCTCTGCTCCGAACCGAGACCAACCCGGAACGCATCCTCGACATATGCCGAGCCGCCGCGCTAACTCCCGAGTCTCACCTCGACCGACTCGCCTACTCCAAGGCCATCTTAAAGCTCCGCAACTCCAATTACTTCGGGGGAATCCGTGAGCTCCTTGAAGAATATAAGTCCCGACCCGATTTCAGATCCGAAAAGTGCATTTCCCACTTTGTCGTTCTATATGGGCAAGCCGGCATGCTGAATGACGCCATGAAGACCTTTGAGAAAATGGAGGACATGGGGATCGAACGATCGGTGAAATCACTCAACTCCCTCCTGTTTTCTTGCCTTTTAGCCAAAAATTTCGGAGAAATGAAGAGAGTTTTTGTTGAATTTCCCAAAAAATACGGGATTGCACCCGACCTAGATACCTACAATACAATGATTAAGGGGTTTAGCGAGTCGGGATCTACCAGCTCTGTCTATTCCATATTGGATGAGATGATTAGAAATAAAGTCAGGCCAAATGCCACAACTTTTGGAAACTGTCTTGCAGGTTTTTACATGGAGGAGAAGTTTGAGGATGTTGGGAAAGTTTTAGATATGATGAGTCAACATGGTGTTTCACCAGGTATTGCTATTTATAACATAAGGATTGAAAATTTATGTAAGCTCAAGAGGTCAAAGGAGGCAAAGGCATTGCTTGATGGAATTTTGTCCAGGGGCTTTAAGCCAAATTCGTTAACTTATGCCCATTTGATCTATGGGTTTTGTAAGGAAGGCGATTTGGAAGAGGCAAAGTGTATGTTTAAAAAGATGGTTAACAGTGGATGCCAACCGGATAGCGAGTCATACTTTAGGCTGGTTTACTTCTTATGCAAAGGTAAAGATTTTGAGGGTGCAATGAAATTTGCGAAGGAGTGTATGGAAAAGGGCTGGGTTCCTAATTTCTCGACTATGAAGATGCTCGTGGATGGGCTTGCAAGTATTTCAAAGTTTGAGGAAGCCAAGGAAATCATTTCACAGTTGAAGGAAAAGTTTTCTAGAAATGCTGACAAGTGGACTGAGATTGAAGAAGGGCTAGCCAAGTAGGAGGGAAATGTATCATGGTAAACTCTTATCTTGGTTTTGAATAATGATTTGGTGTCATGTTTAGCTGTTAAAATAGTTAAAGTCGATGGCTTTGTTGGATTAATTCTCTTCTACAGTGGTGTTTTTTCTCAGATACATTTTCTCCATTATTACTTGGACTTGATTTTGAAGCAACTTTCCTCTTGTTCCCATTCTAAGCTATTTAAGTTTTGAACATGAGGAAGCTATATCGCCTCCCAATCTCACAGCACATAAAGGTGTTATTCATTTCTTCCTAAAATGCGCTGTACGTACATATAAAAAGTGTGAATAGATTTTTTGTGTATTCACATGAGTGATGAGTGGCATCACTATGTTTATACAAATACTACGTGTGTATTTTTTTCTTGAATGATTTGTAGTTCCATTCTATATTTTCTTTTACCGATCTGCAGTTTCATAATTTACGCAAAAGATGTTGATTTGCAAGGAAAAAAGAAAACTAGAAGTCGAATGTTGTACTGACTACTAAGCATATGCAAAAAATGTGCTAAGCTTTTTGCACATCTGCAAGTGTATTTCTTTTATCTTTCAGTTATTGTGAAATGACAATCTTACACTAAAACTGAAAGGCAAAATGAAGGGGCTGATTGCACTATATGCCAAATTCCCAACTAAGAGACTAAAAGTGTGTTTATTGCACAATAATTGAACGACAAAATTAAGTGGCTGATTGC